AGGTGTACGTGTGCAGGTGTACGTGTGCAGGTGTACGTGTGCAGGTGCACGTGTGTATTTGTGTGTGTTTGTGTGTGTTTGTGTGTTCATGAACAGCATTTGCTCTTAACGAGCGCGTTCATTCGTTTCTCCACCTTCAGTTCAAACAAACCTTCAATAATCTTTTGTGTTTGTTTTTTTATTTATTTCATTGTCCAGGTTGCAGCCAACACTCCCAGCATGTATTCTCAGGAACTGTTCCAGCTCTCCCAGTATCTTCAGGTGAGACACTGACACCTACTGGTTGTTCTACACTCGGCTCCAGTGAACACGTGATTGTGTTTGTGCTGGAGTGACTCGGTGTTGTCGTGTTGTGTCCAGGAGGCCTTACACAGAGAGCAGATGTTGGAGCAGAAGTTGGCCACGCTGCAGCGTCTGCTGAGCTCCACCCAGGAGGCCTCGGAGAGCAGCTGGCAGGTACAAGAACCACCTGTACTCTTCAGACACACGGCAGACCGAGGAGGCGCCTGCTTCCTCTGCAGGCTGACCTTAAACAGAGGGTTTTGTGTTTGTTCAACATTTTTAATGAAAATAAAGACGTGGGTTAGCTCAGGCAAAAGGACACCCTTCACTTCTTCTCTGTCCTTTTACAAAGTATGACACACGTTAGTCTAATTTTATAATACATGTCACATGTGAAGACTGTTTAAAACCACCTTTATTAAATTAAACTTGTTACTGCAGGTTTGTCAAATTGAAATGACCTCTGTAAAACTTGACGACTCGTTTAAATATTAAAATAAAATCCATCAGGATGATGGAACGTTTCTCTTGAATATTTGTAAAACAGATTATTAGTCTCATTTCTCACGGCTGAGCACAATAATCTGGATTAATCTAAATTCACTGTCCAGTTTCTGTCTGTGGTCGGGTTCTTCATGAGGAGTTTCATATAAAACTCAGTGTAAACGTCTCCTCCAGGCTCTGATCGACGAGGATCGTCTGCTCTCCAGACTGGAAGTGATGGGCAGCCAGTTACAGGCTTACTCCAAGGTGAGGCGGGACGCACGTTCAGCGTGAAGCTGAAACAAACCAACTGCTCTTCGGTGAATTAACGCTTGGACTTTTCTGCAGTCGCAGCCAGAGGAGGGGATCCGTAAGGAGCTCCTGGCTCTTCAGGAGGACAAACACAACTACGAGACGACGGCGAAGGAGTCCCTGAGACGAGTCCTGCAGGAGAAGATCGAGGTGGTCAGGAAGCTGTCGGAGGTCGAGGTAAGACAGATGGAATCATCACGTGGTTCTGACTGACACCACCAATGGTCATCTGCAAACATCTGGTCGTCAGAACTGGATCTGGAGCTGCAGAACCTCCTCCTGAACTTGTGACCCCACACGAACTGCAGCATGGACACCTCGGGTTCAAAACACAAAGGCAGCTCGGCTGCTGGAAGTCCACAGATATGTGTACTTGCTGATACTGAGTACCGCTACTACGTAGTAAATAAGTTGGTATTTATTACACAGCGACTCTAGAAACGTTTATTTTATTAAAAACACGACTGTCTGTTCTGACATCACCTGTTAACATTTCCTCCAACAGTTTTTATCTGTTGCTCTCGGTGCGAAGTGGAAGAGACGATGACATCATCAATCATGATAGAAGTATTGATCCGAAGCTTCGCAGTGTTTTTATGAGTACAAACGTATTTGAGGCCAGTATTGAACCTGATATCGATGCACCACTAATAATTAATCAGCGATAACTTTTCGGAAAATTTAGCTGTTTATTTTTGGGCTTAAAAGTTTGAATATTTTATATTTTTTATGTATTTTTTTTATATTTATAAATTTATTCATTTTTAAAACAAAACAAAACCATAAACAATTAAAAAAAAAACCCATTAAAAATAAAAATGAAAGACAGCAGAAGGAAGAAAAAAAAGTCTTATCTGCCCCTTTGTTTCAAACAATTAATTCATATAATAATCTTCAAGTAACAAAACAAAATAAACAACTCCTTCTACTGGGGCGACTGTGGCCGAGTGGTTAGAGCAGTCGTCCTCCAATGTGAGAGTTGGGGGTTCGAATCCACCAGCTGTCACATGCTGAAGCATCCCTGGGCAAGACACTGAACCCCTCATCGCCTCCGATGTGCGTCCCATCCGTGCATGAATGTGATAAAGCTCTGATTAGTCTCTGTAGATGATTTGTTCAATTAGCTTTGTAGATCTGTATGAACGGGTAAATGAAGCACAGATTGTTGTAAAGCGCTTTGAACTACTTCATATATATATTTTTAACAATTCAGCTTTGATCTTTTTCTTAAATATACACATTGACTTGGCATTTTTCACATCACTCTCTAGAACATTCCACAATCCAACTCCTTGGATTGAGGTAGACCTTCCCTTCAAACTAGTTCTGTATTTCGGTTTGACAAATATCTCTATCCCCTTAAGATTGTAACAACTTTCCCTTTTAACAAAATTTCTTTGGATATTTAAAGGTAATGTTATTTTGAGCCCTATACATAACTGATAAAATACTATAATCTACCAAACCATGGAACTTCAATCATTCCAGTTCATAAAATAAAGTGCTTGATGGGTGACTGAAATGCTTTCTGGTGATGATTCTTACAGCTCTTTTTGTAAAACAAAAATAGGATTTGTAATTGTTTTACACGCTTTCCCCCAAACATCAATACAATAGATTAAATGTGGAACAACTACCACGTTATACAACATGTACAGAGCTTTATCATTTAATAAGTCCCTAACTTTGTGCAGTACTGCAATAGATTTTGAATGAGCAGTTTATCAAAATTATTCTCTAAATCTTGTATGTAGCTGTGTGTGTATATCGGGTAAACGATTTTCGTTCACAAAAAGGTTTTTGGGAAACGGGTAAAGGTGTGACTTGTCTCCGAGCTGAGCGCACCTCCCAAACAGATCACAAACGATGAACCTGAGCAGCTTCTGGGACCCTGGTGTGGTGTTCGTCCACGTCTGACCAAAATGTCTTCCTGCAGCGCACGCTCAGTAACACGGAGGACGAGTGCACCCACCTGAAGGAGATGTCTGAGAGGAGTCAGGAGGAGCTGAGGGAGCTGGCCAACAAATACAACGCTGCCGTCAACGAGATCAAGGAGCTCACCGACAAAATGAAGGTACCTGAACAGATAAAAACTCTTCAGGTGGCGCCTTTTCCCCGACTCGTTCTGCACCTCCTGTTTATATTTAACGTTTCTGACGTTAACTGCTTTGCTCCTCTCTGTCCTCGTCCTGGTTTGTGTCGCGCCTCCTCCAGGCGGCAGAGGGCCGGCAGGAGGAGCTGACCCAGCAGGGGGCGGTGGAGAAGAAGGAGTTGGAGATGCGCATTGAGGAGATGGAGGAGAAGGAGCAGGTTCTCCAGGCTCGGATCGAGGCCCTGCAGGCCGACAACGACTTCACAAACGAGCGACTCGCTGCTCTCCAGGGTACGAACGGTCCGGCTGACATTCATCACCCCGGTTTTACTTTAACCCCGACTCGAACGTTTTGATTCAAGTTCGTATAAAAGTTCATCTTTTAAACTGCAGCCGCTCATTTGGCTTGAAGCAGAACGGGCGCTCGCTCTGCCGCCTCATAAAACCAAGCAGCCAGACTTTCATGTCAAATTAAACCGTTTGAAGTCGTAACACAGTTTGAGCTGTTCTGATGTGATGCAACTCATGAAGCAACAAATCGATCAGAACATCTGTCCAGCCATTAATCGATCAGAACATCTGTCCAGCCGTTAGAACCTCCCTGCAGAACCGTGTTGGTCAACTCTTTCCCTGCTCCTGTTGTTGTTTACAGTGCGGTTAGAGCAGCTACACGAGAAAAGCATAAAAGAAAACAACAGTCTGGGTGAGTCCACGCGTCCCCGATCTGCTGTGGGACAGATGTGTGTGTGTCTGCTGCTGTGGGACAGATGTGTGTGTGCTCACTTCATTCATCCTGCGCTGATGATGCATGTCGCCTGCATGACGCTCACTCTTCCTGCTGTTTGCACAACTCTCCTGTATTTCTTCACGACGGAGCTTTTATTCGTAGAAGGTGAAGAGATGTTCACGTTTCCTCCTGCAGCTGTTAAGTTTGTCGAGATTTTCCACAGATGTTGAGTTCGCGTGTCCCGAAACGCCTGAATACAACTCCGACAAGACGGTTCATTATTCAAAGCTTCGAGTGCTGCTCTTTATTGTAGTTTGGGGAAAAAACACGGCTTCCTGGTAGTTACTTTAAAAAGTTTTAGACTTTAAGTGGTGATTGTAAATAAATCATAAATACATAGTTATTTACAAAGTAAATTAAATAAAGGTTTAATGAATTATCTCTTCTGAACAAAAAAAATTTTAAAAATTGAGTAAATTCTGACGAAACAATGTTTTTGTCTTTACATTTATATTGTTTTCGTAACGGGCTTCAATACATTGATTTATATGCAGTGAAATTATTACAAATAATAAATGTAAATAATTATAATCACAAACGTTTATCAAGTTAAACAATACTGAGCCAAGCATTATTTATTTATTAGAAAAACAGTTTTAATGTTTAAACAATTTCCTTTTGACTTTAAACCTTAAAACTGTTAACTGTTGCTTCCATTTGTTTTTGTTAGCTTGTGAAAAATTTATGAGGTTTTATTAAACATAATTTTTTTAATAAAAATAGCAGACATGTTTAGAGAAATCAACAGTCGACTAAATAGTGTTTTATTGTTTAAAATAAAAAAAAAATACTAAAAAAACTTACATGGTTTAACTGGTGTATTAAATGTTTATAATGCTGTTTATTATGTCCTACCTAATATTTATAAAATATTTATGAAAGTTAAAAAGTTTTTCTGGCTAAAAACACACGAGAAAATTATTTATAATTTCTATTTTATTTGAAGCAGTGGTTAAAGGCGTAAGTTAATTTGATTCAAGCTTTTTTTTATTTTATGTTTAGTGTTGGTAAAAGTTTTTCGACTCAGACGCTCCTGGGGGTTTGGTGGGTTTGTAAGAAGGCGACATCGGTCTCACGGCTGCGGCGGGGCGTGGTGGCTCTCTGCTCCTCTTCCATGATCTGGGTTGTGTCCACGGTTTTCAAACTCTCCACTTCTGTTTTATTTCACTCCTTTGGTGGTAAAGAGTCTTTTGGTCACTGGTGATTGAGCACACGGTGTCCTGAGCGCTGCAGGTTTCACTGCGCCACAGCAGCCACGCGTTTAGACCGCTCTGCATGCGTCTGGCTCGTCCACTTCAGCGCTCTGCATATACGTGATGTGGTCACATGACAGATGTGGACCTTGTCTCCCACGGACCAGAAGAGGAGCCTGTCGAAGACGCACAGAACCTGCTGACGCCTGAGAGCCAGGACCAAGACGAGGGGGACTCGGATACTGATGATGGGGCAGTTGGTGGAGATCAAGAGACCGATGGTAGTTTAATTATCATAACAGTTAATATGTTGTTTAAAATAACGATAAACGTGTTTAAAACATGGCGGAGTCATGTGCCAGGAAGTTAAGAGAAAATGTGATGAATAAACTTTAAAATACTTTTTAGTAGAGGTATTTGAGACGTAAACGACTGCTGATAATTTGATCATTTATTCCGTTTCCTCCACCTTTTGATTCAGATGTTTTCTAGAGCCCGACCGATGTGGAAATGTAGTCTCGCCGATATCGTGAAGGCCAGGTTAATGCTGATATATTGGCAGACGTGTTTTATCTTTGTCCACCAACAAGGATCAAAGTAAACGGCTGCTTTTAAACCTGTTTTAACACTTGATACTTGAAACCGTCTCTCTAACGTGAGGTCACATTTTCTAACTTCCACTATTCACGATGAAGTTATGAAGCGTGTTACGAAAATATACATTTAAAAAAGAAACGCCCTTCACTGCTCAGTGTTTAAACAGTCACGTACGGTGAAGGTCTAATTAGTATTGACCACAGTTGTTTTTGTTTTCTTTGTAGAGAAGTAAAGATTTTAGTCAAACAATTCATTTTATTGAGGATGACAAAGATAACGTTGCTAACACTGATATATATTTACCTCTTCGTTAGATTTATTGTTCTGGATAAAGTTTTACAAAGAAGCAATAGCCTATGCTGGGTTATCTAAGTAGCTAATGACGAACAGGTTGGAGGATTGAAGAAAATTTATTGTTGATTTGTTTTACACATCAGTTAAAATAAACTTAACATGCTCCGTTCAGCAAAATACACTGCGCAGTATTTAACATAGTTGCTCCCTGCTTCAGCTGAGCTGGAAGTGAAAGTGGTGAACGGTCATGTGGGGGTTCATACCCTAACACCCCAACAATTCATGCAGCATGGATTGTTTATTTAAAATGTTACAGTATTTAAATTTAAATAGTAGAGAAGTGCAGCAGGACAGCAAGTGGATGCAGCACGGAGGAGAAATGCAGGAGGGAGCTTCTCCCTGCACTTGTGGGCTGCACACAGGTGCAAAATAATTTTAAATAATTTTAAATAAACAATCCACGGCTCATCCATCAATCAACCAATTGTGTCATGTGCAATGTTACTTTGAAAAACCGCGATAGAGCGAGTCCACGAGAAACGAAACGCGACGTAACGAGGGACTACTGTGGTCGTTGTGCGCCCTCTGCTGGACACATTGTACAATTACACCTTTTCCCAGTAAGGACACAGCTGGTTCCCAGTGTTTATATCGGCGCTTAATGGGACAATTATCACCGATACGGTATGTTCCCAAACAAATACATCGGCCCTACAGAAATATCGGTCGGGCTCTATTGTTTTCCTTTACTTTGTCTTTTATTGCATCTTTTAATTGTGCTCTCCTTCATGCAAAGCCTCGTGTTTTAAAGGAAGAATTAACTTTGAAGTCATAAATATTTTAGTTTTACAACAAGAGGCTTTGGTTTACGCAGACGGCTGTGGATTTTTGTCTAAAAAGAACTCATAAGTCTTAATGTGGAACAAATTGTACTTTATTCACAATAAGGTAAAATGTAAAGTTTTATTTTGTGCATCTCGGCTCAGATACACAAACGGTGCTGGGTCGTTGTTTTAGCTCGGCTGGTTCAGGGTTCGTGTGCGACTCTGATCTGGGTCGCTGTGAAATTTAAATTTCTTGTTAAAGCACTGCTCATCTTCAGACTGCAGATGTTCCAGTTGTGGTTTCTGTGTGGAGCCAGAGTTTAAAGTTGGTTCATAGCTTTGATTTCTGCTGCGTCTGTTCTTCTGGTTTCTGTTTGTAATCCATGAGCGCTGCCATCTTTAACTGCTCCCGTCTGTTTCTTCATCGTGACGTCTTCGCTGGCTCGAAACGAGAATTAGAGTGGAGCTCTTAAAACGCATTCTGAACTGGACTCTTGCTTTTGTTGGTTCGGCTCTTGGAATCCAGAAATTTAAACCGATCTGAACGAACGGACACAATTTGTTCGTACCGTTGGTTAACGAAAGAAAATTTTAAAAAATGAATCGACTGTTGAAAATCAGTTTTGTTTTTTGTTTTTTAATTTTGGTTCAGCAGAATAAAAAATGCAAATGAAACTGGTGTTGATGAAAAGATTAAAACTAGTGTGACCACGTGGACGTCAAGCTAAGGTGCGTCCTGGACTCGGCACCTCAGGTGTCCAGTCTGTAGTCAGTCTGCCTGCTGAAAGGTGGCAGGTAGTCACAGGGCTGTTTGGTGTCATGGTGTGCGCCACACTGGACATGGACTGAGGACAGAGAATTATTGACGTCATATAAAGACTAAAACCGTCTTCCGCAGCTTGAGGCTCCTTTGACTGCAGCTGCACGGATTATCCAGAAGTACTTAAAGGACTGGAGACGTCCTCCTTGGACGTGTCCACAAGAGGAAGAGAGACGGAGAATAAGAATTTTAACCCAAGAGCCAAGAATAACTTCCAGTGAGATTAGAGGTGAACTGCGAGGTCAAAGGTCATCAGTCTCGGATGCATCATCAGTTTGGACTTGATGGAAGAAGACGGAGGAGGACACCAAACCATTAAAAAACAAGACTGGAGTTTGACAAACTGGAAACTGACGAGCCTCAAAGCTTCTTGGGAAATGTCCTTCGGACAGAAGCTGGAGCTTTTTGACAACACGTCCCATCAGCTGAGCTCATAGACCCAAAGATGGATCAAGGACCAGAACCCTGGACCTGCAGGGAATCGTAGAGGAGGCTCGGATCTGTTCTGGAGCTGCGTCTGTGCAGGGTGCATAAAAATCTCAAGACCATCGAGGCACTCGGGAGTGAAAGGTGCTCAGAAAGTTCTGTCTGACTGTGACCCAAATCATTCAGATGAAAACACTGAGAACGGGTCGGAACCAAACACTGGACTGTTCTGAAGGGGCCCCCGAGCCCTGACCCCAATCTGGACCAGAACACCTGGACAGGTGCAGAGGTCCGAGTCACAGAAAGAACCCGATCGACTCGAAATATTTCATCATTTAAAAAATGTTTCTGTTGAACCAGAGTTAAAAATTAATTTTTATTAGTCGATCGTGTTTTTAACTTTCCATGATTTTAGTCTGTTTCTTGTTATTTCAGACACCACCGTGCGTTTTAAAGGTTCCAGACAAACTTCAATGTTTATCGTACAAAACCCACCGAGGTGGCAATAATTAGTGTTGACCCGTCGAGGTCCGGTTCCACCGAGCAGAACCAGCAGGACGTCGTGTGATGGTGTGAAAGTAACGAGGGTTCTTTGTGTTTCTGTCAGACAACTGTCTGCTCAACAACAGCGGAGGAGACTCGACTAGAAGCCCTCAGTTGATTGAGTGTCCGCGTGAGTACAACATGGATCAGAAACACTCATTTATATATATTATATTCAAATATAATATATATTCAAATATAATATATATTCAAATATAATATATATTTATATTCCTTAGTGTGGAGGCTCGACGAGTCGAAACAAACTAAATGGTAGAAGTTTAAGCCTTTCAGAGGATGTTAGCACATCTCTGATTCTTGTTTGAAGGTTGGATGTAAATGTTTAAATATATATATTTAAAGCTGCTTTGCAAAAATAAAATGATTTATATGTATTAAATATATAATCACAATCATAGCTGGGTGACTTTTAGTTTCTGGACAGTAAAATAAATAAAGTTCTGAAAGGGACCAAAATGTTCACAGATTTAGTAGATCTTTAACGAGCCAGTTTATTTAATTTGATGCATTTGTTTTACTTTTATTTTCTGTTCCTTTAAAACGTTTTTGAATGCTTGGTATTTATTATCGTATATCTTCTTGGAAGTGTCGCAAAATGACGAGTACCGTATTTTTCGCCCTATAAGTCACAGTTTTTTGCCTAATTGACTTATGGATTTTTTTCTCACATTTATAAACCAATATTTCGCTGAGATGTGATCATTTTCATTCGTTCTAATTGGAAATATTGAACACCACCATTTTCAGCCGCTTCCAGATGGCGCTTGAGTGGTATGGCATGCCTTTGTATCATGTAATAGATAAAAGTGTCTATCATGAAGCAACCTTCAAATCATCTTCATTTCTCTGCGCCTCCCCGGCGAACTGCAGCCGATTTGACCATTAAAGTGCATTTATTAAGTAAAACTTCAACTGAGACACACCTTTACTATAATTAAATTCTTGTTAAAGTCATGTGCACGCTCCCGCGGCCACCATTTAGCAGCCAATCAATTTTTGGAACAACATTTCCGGTTCGTCCGCGGTGATGCGTAATAGATGCGACTTATCCAGCGAAGCAACGTATTTGTGGATTGTTCCACTTTATTAGACGTATGACGCGACATTTACGGCAGAAAGTACGGTAATTGGTTTATTTACACGAGGACGGACGCTGGCTGCTGTTTTAGTTGAAGTTCAACACGATAAATAAGAAAAGTTTAAATAACTTTTTGTCACGTGAAGGATTGAAATGGTAAAATCTCAGTCGCTGCGTATGATTTTTAATTTCTTCACAGTTTTGATCTGAGACTGAACGTCACGGTTTTAACTCTTTAAAACGAGTTTTAATTCAAATTAGAACAGCTTGACAGCCGTCTGAACATAAAGTTGATCTGTTTTGGAGCGAGCCGACGTCTCGCAGCCGGCTGGACCGACGCTCTCAAACAAACTGATGATTTAAAGATAGATTAATATTTTGTGTCGTCAGCGTGAAGCTTCTGGAGCTGCTTCTACAACCTTCATGTTCAGCTGACGCCTCTTGAGTTCATGTTCTAGTTGAAACAAAAGTCGAGCAGCGGCTTCTGGGAAGACGTTCGTTCAGGTTTTTCGTACAGGAACGAGGTTTATTTTTGAGTTTTCCAACCTCTCTGCTGACGACGTGCCAGAAACCGAAGAAGAACTTCTGAACAAATATTAGTCGTGAGTGGTTTTACAGAGAGGGAGAGCAAAGATTTGGTCAAAGAGTCGACCGTCTGCTGCTCTGATGTCTAAAGATCCACATCTGCCGGAGGAAACTCATCCTTCTCAGTTACATTTAAATGTTTTCATATCACTCTAAATAAATGTTTTAGGATGAAAACGTCCTCTCTTCATCCTAAAACTAAAAGAAGCCACAGGACGACCGGAGAAGATCTTGAACTGAGTTCTTCTATTTGAACAGAACAGACGCTCACGCAGCTCTAACTCAAACTCACGGTTCACGGGCAGCTGACGCTCCCAGCCATCGTCGTTAAAAATCATCCATAAACCTTCAACGATCCCCGGATGAATTTAACAAACGAATCCTTTTCGCTTTAGGAGCAAAAGACGACGAGACATTTTCTGGACCAGTTTGGTTTTGATGGACGCTGACCCGTCTCTACAGGGCAGCGTCCATTTTTAGGAAGTTGTGAGAAAACATCTGGATTACGTTTTAACATTTATACGTTCAACACGAGTGTTTTTTCTTTTCTTCTGTATTTAGTTCAGATTATTTTATTGTAATGTTTTTATTTGTTGCTTCGGTCGCCTCTATGAACAACTGCTTTTATAAAGTCACATGTTTCGTGCTGGTTTCCAGTAGTTCCTGTTAAAGAACATTTGATTCAGTCACGAACTCATTTAATAAACTAATATTTGTGGTTCTCCTGTGATCATTAATCCTGATTAGTTAGCGGTTGATCCTGCTGCTAACCAGCTGTTGCTGCACATGAATAGACGAAAAGAAGAGCACGCGTCCAGATGTTTTAACGTTTTACTAAATATTTTAACTGGTTGTTTTTGTTGTTTTGCAGCCGTCAAACAGTTGAAGGAGTCTGTGAGTTCTTCCATAAACAAACTGGCCAACTTTGATGGTGAGCCTTGAAATAGACTCTACATTTAATTTAATGCTGGTGCAGTGGGAAATCTATAAAAAATCAATAAATATAAATATATCCTGATGCATGCTCAATAATCCAGGTAGAAAAATCTAAAAAAGTTAAGTCTGGTCCTCGGGACGGGTTCAAAAAACAAAAAATTGTAGAATGTTTCTACAATTTTTTGTTTTTTGAACGGGTCAAGACTTAATTTTGTTAGAAATATAAATATAGTTTTAAAGCGATTCCTGAGGAGAAACAACTGGCCTGATGTTAAAATGTGTGTTTGTAGACGTGATGGACGCTCACCTGCAGAACAACCAGACTGAAGAAGACGACGTCCTGGCCAGCCCCGATCAGCTCAAAGGTCAGAACATCGAGTTCACCTTTAAACGTCTTACAGTCGCACAGCTGGACTCGTTACCGTTTTTATTCTTGTGTGAATGTTCGTGAAGCGTTCACTCTGTTCTGGTCCAGTTTTCTTCTGTTTGGGTCTCGGTGCAATTTTCATCCTGCAGTTTTCAAACCGTTTCAACAAAACATGAATCAAAACGTTCAGCTCGTTCAGGAAAATCCTGCTGTGACTTGTGGTGTTGGTGCAACTTTAGCTTTTCGAAATATTTAGCCTTTTCTGCCATTTTTCTTACTGAAAATGAACCGAGCTCATTTTGCATTCTTATAATCTGTTTACCTTTTACTGCTCCTTTCACTTTTTGTTCTGCTTCAGCTACTTTCAGCTGTTTCATGCTCCTTTCAGCTTCTTTCTGCTAACCACAACATTGTTGTGCTTCTTCTAAATTCTTTCAGCTAATTTCAGCTTGTTCTGCTCCTTTCAGCTTTTTTGTTCAAGTTTCAGCTTTTTACTATTTCAGCGCCTATTTAGCTGTTTTTATGCTAAATTTAGCATTTTCATCTAATTCCACATTTTAGTTAATTTCGGCTTGTTCCACTTCCTTCTGGTAGTTTAAGCTTCTTTCAGCCTTTCATTTGCTAATTTCAGCTTTTTTTAATCTAATCTCTTTATTTTCGTGCTCATTTCCGCCTGTTTAAATTTAATTCAGCAAATATAAGTTCTTTCTACTTCTGTGAATTTAGGCTTGTTCCATTTCAGCTTGTTTCTTAGCAGTCTTCAGCTGTTCTTCAGCTGTTCTTCACATTGCACTTTCTCAGGAAATGCAATTTCTCTAGTTTTGAATTGTTTGTTCGCTCTTTGCTCCAAAACATGATGATTAAAACCACGTGAAACTTCAAAATGTGCAACAACCTTAAATAAGCAACTGTTGACAAACTAAACTATAGTTGTACAAATCCAGCAGGAGCAGTAAGACGGTCAGAGCAGCAGGATGGACTTGTTTCGGTAGTTGTGAGTTTTTCTTTGTGTCTCCGCAGCGAGTCAGATGGACGCCAAAGAGTCGGACATGTCCGACACTCTGAGTCCCAGCAAAGATCGCAGCAGCGACGACACGTCAGGTCAGAAAACACAAAGAGAACCGACTCGGGTGCAGTCAAGTCTGAACTTCTTACGTTGACGCCACCGTTTGTTTGTTTACTTGTTTGTTTAAGTTTTGCTCATCGGTCTCAGGGTTTTCACTGAGACCCCTGTTTAAATGTTCGACCCTCCTGCTGCCCTGGGGTCGAATCGACCCTCGGGGCCTCGGCCCTGACGTTAAGACCTCTTGGCTCTGAATCAAACCCCGAAGAGTAAAACTCTGTCACACATTCATAAATCATTTCTGGCTTGAAATTATAACAATAAGACATTTCTGCTTTATTATTTCAGTCTGTTTTACCAAGTTTATAGTTTTTACTTTAGAACTTTGTCCTGAAGTTACATACTTTAGTTAAATGCTTCGGTCAGACGTGTTGGTTTGTTTCAGATGGAAACATGAACGAGCAGGAGCTGAACGAACCACAGAACAGAGTCGCTCTGCTCAAAGGTACCCCGTATTCATCCCTTTGGTTTTTCACCTTTAACTCGTGATTTATTTCATTTTGTTTATGAAACAAAAAGCTGAAGAGTGTTTTGCGGCGCTGCTTTCAGTCGAGTTGAGTCGGGCCGGTTTAGAGTCTGGAGACACGGAGCAGATCATCCACCACCTCCACAGAGAACTGCTGGAGGCCCAGGAATTAGCCAACACCGGCAAGCAGAAGTGTCTGGGGCTACAAGGTCAGTCCAGCTTCATGTTCTGACAGATCTCTGTTGAGCTGCGATTCACACGTCTGCATGCTGCCTGTCTGCAGCTCTGCTGGAGGAGGAGAGGAGGAGTAACTCCAAGCTGACGGAGGAGTCGACCAAACAGATCCAGTACCTGCAGAGTCAGTAGAAACACCCTGGGAGGATTGTAGAAACGGTGGAATATGTTGTGACGTCTCGTTTCTGTGCTAGCCCAACTGGAGAAGCTGCAGGCCGACATGGAGGCTCTGAGGGAGCAGAGGGAGAGCACCATCTGCAGCACCAGAGAGGAGCTCTACTCCGCCCAGGAGGAGGTACTGCTTCAGCTGCAGCCTCGTGTCCGCAGCAAGAGTCGAGCTTTATCCGTAACGATCGTGTCTCTGCCGCCAGATTCTCGTCCTGCGACACGCCATGGAGGCGGCCACAGCGGACCGGGAGCGGGAGATCACCGCCCTGCAGGCAGACCTGGGTAACGTGCGCACTGAGCTGGAACACTGGAGGACCACGGCTGCCAAATACGAGGAGGAGATCAGCCGGCTGCAGGGGGCTTTCACCCAGCAGCAACAACAGCAGAACACCGCCAGCCAGCTGCAAAGTGAGCCGAATGCACGGTCTTTCAGCTGTTGGCGAGCCGTGACTGAACGCCTTCTCTTTCTCTCAGCGGAGTGCGTGACGCTGCAGCAGCGCTGCTCGTCTCTGCAGCAGGAATGTGACGGGCTGAGAGCCGAGCGGACAACGCTCACAGATAAACTGCACCGCCTGGAGGCTGAGCTGAGCAGGTGCAAACACAACCATCCACGGGTTTATTCTACTCTCAGCCTGAAGCTAAACTGAGGAGCTGAACTTTAGCTGCTCTTCAGCTCGTTGATCCGAGCAGGGTCGTCTCTGGATTTTAGATCCGTCGAGTAAACTGATCAGAGTTTTCCTGTTTTTCCTACATTTTTTTTTCCTCAACTACTTCTACAGACTTTGTGCTATTTTAGCTGTTCACAAATCAAAACATTCAGCTCATTGGGTGCTGTGACTTTTGGTTTTTGTAACGCATTTACTTTTTTTAACACATTTAACTTTATTTAAAAGCATTTCTCCGTGGAGACACAGTAGTCCCTCGTTTATCGCGGGGTCTGTACCCTGAAGCCCCACAGTGAAAACAATAAGTGAAAAACCGCGAAGCAGGAATAGTAGTACAAGCAGTAAGTAGTTGTTTATTTTAGTAGTAGTATA